ATGTAATAATCATACTGATACTTGTCCAAGTACTCACACATACAAGTACGGATACATTTTTGTTTATTGTCATGTAACAGTTTTTCTAAAGCAATACAGACTAATGATTTCAGGACAGTGGTCGAGCGCCAGAGCCATGTCCCAGCTGCAACTGCTGCAACCCTGGTGGTTCTTGTGAAAATGCCAAGTATCGGCACTGGTATCTGAACATCCCTATTTGTAACAGTAAATATTGTAGAATATTTGCAGCTAGGGTCTGTCAAGTTTTCTAAACAATCTTTAGTTAAAATAATGGGATGCACAGCATTATAAATGAATACCAATTACATTTAAAGAAACCGCTAATAATTTAGGGAGACGATCAGACCCATTTCATTACGGAAAATATCTAGTAAGCCAGAGTAATGAATCAGACTGTCTCTCCTGGATGCGACTTCAGTAAGCCATCACTTAATTTGTTGTAGTGGGATACTGCACTTTGCACATTGTATAATAGAGACTGGTAATGGGCAATAGGAAAGATAATTGTAAGGAAGCTTTACATGCCATAGAAACTCAGCTTTTGGGACTACACTGCAGCTCTGATGTTCAACTCGACTTTGACATGTCTACGATTCTTTTCTCACGTGGCTTTAAAAAGTTAATAGTCTTTATAATGTCTCCGATATAATAAACTTTCTCAGCTTATTGCCTTACAATGTATAAATGACTTGGCAAGGAAAATTGTGGCAATTTCTAAACAATCTTCAACAGGGATTCATACCCCTATCTTTTTTTCCTTCCATTCTATGGTCTCCTTGAGGTCACAGATCTCATGGTCACTGCTCTGTTGTTTTTGTTGCATCTGGCGGATCTCCTAATGGGCAGCAGTCAGGCAGCAGGCGGAGAAGCAAAGAAGGATTTCAAGAGAAGTAAACAGTAAAGATTAGATAAAATAGGGTGAAAGAAACACAATACAAAATGGAAAAAGAAAGTTAACCACGAGGATAAAAATGGTTGTGGCTTATAGAATCAAGTCCTATTAATTATAGCTTAGTTCTGAAGATAGAAAGTAGACCGCGAGTTTACATTTGCCACTTCAAGGAGATTAGACAATCTCAGCATATATCCTCCCTTACGGTTAAGAGAGACTCTCTCTGCTCCAATGCTTCCTTCATCTCGGCCAGCTGGAAACGCAGAACATTGTGGTCGTGTTTCTGTCGTTCACACTCCTACAAAAGAATACAAGTACAATACCATAAGATATCATATACCATTACTATATTATCTGTCAGCAAGAGAAAACGGGGCCTGCTACTGCTGATCTCCTTCTCAAAATACTAGTTACTGAATATTGAGCAAATGTTTTTAGCTATCCTGTTAACAAATCAATTCATTCTTTGGTATACCAATATCTGGTTCTTCAGACCCACTCAGGGGGTCTGCATTTTCTCCCAGAGGGTAGGCACCCTGTACTCAATCATTAACCTTCAGTCCATGACTGAAAAGGGTGCTGCATTTAAAGTGAATGTGTAGCCATTTTTTATTTTTTTGGATAGAGTAGGAGAGGGTTAAAACATCTGCCAGTTTATGTTTCCCAGTCTGTGTCATTAAAGAATGTTTTCTTCACTTCCTGTCTAGAAGACACAACAGGAAGGGAGTGGAACTCTCCACAAAGCAAGGGGAATTCCCTTCTAAGAATGCCGTCAGCAGAACGGGTCTCCACTGAAAGATTTACCATTAGCTTGTGTTCCGATAACAACTGTAAAATGTTATTTAATCACTTTCTGTACCTATGACAATGGTCAGCAGAACAAACAGAGAATCTCCCCAACAATAACAAAGACAGCAATAATTACTTTACAAAAGGTTCTAATCATTCCCCATTCTATAAAAAAAGTGTTTGTATATACTTAAACGATTGGCAAATACTGCAGCGGATTGTGGGATGGCGTTCCCCCATATAAAGCAGCATGTGGACAGAGTGAAGCTCTGTGAAGAGAGGGTCAATGGCAGCTGCACAAAATTGCTGCTCAGATCTGCTCATCACTATGCACAACCAAATGTCTATCCAAAACAAATCCTTGGTACTTACAAGTAAAAAAATAAAACAAGAGTGTGAAGTATATCAACTTAATGCCAAGCTGAAGACAGGCACGCTTGCCTGTGTGTGATAGAGGCTGCTGTCTGAGTCGTATGCAATCCAGCCATTCTCTGCATAGAAGAATCTTGTGTCAGAGGGCAGGCTTCTGAGGTGTGCAGGCCGGCTAATCTTTTGGGTTCGGAATAAGCCAATATAACTGGCAGGGCCTGAAAAGCACTCATTTTTACACAGCTTCCAGCTAGTGTATGTTTATGCAGTTCAAAACCTGCACTTGCAAGATTGACAACATTCTTCTAGATTAATGCACAATATATAAAGAACCTCTCACTAGTTGTAATTATTTATTTTCTCAGCGCTTCAATTGCCAGGTGTGTCTGGTTTTATTGGCAGAATAAGTTTAAAGAATAACGTTGGACTAAAAAAAAAAAAAAAAAAAAAACAACAAACCCCCCCCAAAAAAAAAAAAAAAAAAAAAAAAATCATCAAGCCCCCCATAAAAAAAAGCGAATTCCCTTATTAATTTCCTAAAGGCGCAGTCATGTGACGGTTGGGGTCCCAAGCCTCCTCTCCTCATCTGTTTACATTTGGCAGGGTCCCTCTTCAGAGTACACATCATGCAGGGAGTGATGTGGGCACCCAAAGAAGGACCCTATTGGTGACAGCAACACTTCCAGCGGCCAGTGCCTCTCGCATCGCTTCAGAAGCAGAAGAACTACACGGGGGCAGTGAGGGGACCAGTCCCTGAAGATGTGCTTGCAAACAACACTGAGGAGTAAAGCTGGCCACACACTGCGTGCTGAAGGAAAAAATAAATATATCAGATTATTCCATCCATGCAGTTTAGAATCTCCTCTGGGCTGTGGTATTCAGACAGAGGCAGCTGATTGGCTGCAGACACTGTCGCCTGACATTTTTCTGACTAGCTCCTTTGCTTTTCTGACTGAAGGATGCCGAACAAAAGGGTGCAGACAGTGGCATTCACTGAACAAATTTTCAGCCAGTTTATACAGTGTATAGCCAAGCTAAAAGAAGAACTTTACCCATATCTTTGATATGACAACAAACACACCTTTAGGAATGTTTAGTAATGACAATCTACAGACACATACTTCTAGATAAGTGCCGGCTTTGTATTCTTTGCATTCCTTATTTCTCTTTTCTTCCCCAGTCTTCTGAGAGTGGCCATGTTAACTAAGGGCAGATTACTAGATCTCGCTTCACTTCCTGGATTTCTGGCACGTGACTAGGACATGTTATCACGCACATCATCTCAGGGGAGGAAAATGCCTTTCCCCGAGATCTTATGAGATTACAGATGAGATTTCCCAGCAATACTCTGCTGATGTAACCTTCCCAGGATGCAACACTTGGCACATACATCATTTGTGCCAGAAGAGGACTAGAAAGTAGATGAACTCCATTTGTAAGTAAATAAAAAACCTGTGTGTTTAACTAATGAATGTAATATGATCTTAAAATCAGCATGCAGAGCTGCATGTTGATGAGGTTTTTAGTAAAAGTCCACTTTAAGTTAAGTCATGCACAATGCCCTCTTTAAAGCTCAGAGTTGGGTTTTAAAGAGGGCTACAGAGAGTCACACCTTATTCTATTTAGTAGCAATGGACCCAGCCTTCTTAAGGCACCTCCGATGCTTGTGTCACACATACGCGGTTTTATGCAGATTAAGAAATGCAATTGTTGTGAATATGATATCAAGCAGTAGTAAGATTTAAAGCATTGGAATACCCTTTAAGTACTATATGAGAAAAGCTTTATATATCTCACACAAGTTATACTGCAATTATAACTCCTCTCATATGCAGTTAGTCCAATCAAGTCAAAGAATCTATATATACGCATATAATAACAGGTCTGGCCCATATTAGCTAATTGAAGATTACCAAAGGATCTTTAAATTTAAAGAGCAGTGATTGTGTGCCAATGAGTACCAACCCAGAGTGACCAGGCAGGTTTCAATCAAGTGGAGCCAGTAAAAGATTAATGCTGACTAGTGATTTCGTCTATGATTTATGTTGTATAATGGTTTATTTTTGTCTTATAAAATACACCTGTCGGTGTGTTGTCTTCCAACACTGAACCTGTAGGCTGTAACAGTGCAGCTAGATGTTGAAATGGGGTTTCAGTACTTACTTTATGTTTCTCTTCATACTGACGCCGGGACTCGGCCAGTTCCTCCTCTAGCTCTAAGAGAACTTCCCGCAGTGTGTCCACTTGATATTGTAAGGATGATTTGTCATTGTCTAACTGGGCATTTGTTACCATGGACCTTTTATACTTCTCCTCCACTTCTGCCAGCGAGTCCTGGAAAATACATGAGCAAGTAATATTAGAAACACATAATTCAAAGAAAAACAAAATGGTAATAAAATTAGAATGAAGTGAACTCATGGTTAAAACTGGTTATTAGTGCACCCCTGCATACAGACAAAGTGTTAAGCTAAGCTTCTTTAGTGTCCGTGTCAGGATTAATGCCACGCAAACCAGTACCTTCATCTCTTTTAGCCCTTGCATGTATCTGCCTTCTACATCCTCAATTTGTTCCTTCAACTCACTGATCTCCTGACAGAGGGGGAGAGAATGCACAGGGATGAAGCGGCAGACAAAGGAAGGTGTGAAAGAAAACAGAACACACACACACTAATGCTCCTTTCAACGAAAAGTTTAAATGCATTTCTACTGGAGATGAAGCAGAACGTCACACACATCTTCAGCCAGTGGCAGAAGCCCAGTAGAACTGGGTAAGACAGCTGTCTGCAGCTGGTTTACAACTCAGCCAACACAGAGAACCTACACAGTACAGATACTCCCTACATGACATCAGAAGAAAATGAGAACATTTACTATATTATAAAAAGGCAAGAAAAGAGCAGAATACAACACCCATAAAAATAACGATCATCAACTGAATACTTCACCACGATAGTCTTCTACACCGATACAGAATTATTTTTATTGTCAGATATAAAATACAAACCCTCTTAAGGGTCATGCCTTAAAAAAAAAAAAAGAATATTTAAAGGCATAGTCCACCTTTCCACTAAAATAACCCATGCATTCTAACATCCACGCTAAAATAAAATCCACCATTCAGATTGAGTAAAACAGGTTGTCGATGGCATACCTGTTGGCTGACCGCGGCCTCTCCTACAAGCTCCTAGGAGGATGGACCATCCTAATCCTGGGCAGACCATTGAAAGCACAACTAATACCCACCCGCCGCACCCCACAGTGACAAGCTCTTGGCGTCTTACCTAAACTATCGCTGTGCATTGTGCGCTCTTTCTCTCTTTGTCATAGCAGCAACTGGGCTCAGTGTTGTGAGACAGAGTAAGAGAAAACACACTGTGCAATCATATATTAGGACACAGCTATGAGCTCATTCTTGCGGCGTGGGGGACATGTTTCCAACAGTCAGCCCATCCTGCCATCTAGGAAGGACAGGGAGGATCCATTAGATTTAAAGTTTGTAGGACAGGCTTTGGAGAGGCCAAGGACAGCCTACACGTATGCCTTGGACATCAAGTCTGTTTTCCAGCACATGAGTAGTTGATTTTATTATAGTGGGGACATGGAATGCATTGGTTATTATAGTGGAAAAGTGAACTATAAATGAGTAACTAAAGCCATGCTGAGGGGCTTATTATATTGTTTGGAAACATTCATGATAAAAATCTTAATGCTGAAGGTACAAGTGTTTCATGAGTTCACTCTCCCTCCTATTTTCTTCTTACAGTAAAGTCAAATCAAAATCTAACAGGAAAAGTCAAACACTTGCAATGGCTGGGACACCGAACAAAAATCTGGTTTTTAATAGACACAAGGGAATATTCTAATCAACAAAATAAAGGGTTAGTGAGCTTTAGAAAGAATCCCATCATAAAATAATTATTGCTCCTAAAAGGACATTGTACCTACATCTGCTGTGGGGTTAAGCACAACCTATGGTACTTGTTTCACATGAAAAGAAATCTCTCTCTGTATGTATGTATGTATGTATGTATGTATGTATGTATGTATGTATGTATGTATGTATGTATGTATGTATGTATCCTTGTTTACTAAAGGAGTAAAACAGGTTCAAATTAAATTGGGTTTTTTTCACTTTGCAAATAATGTTTTTCTTAGCTTAGTGAATGTCGTGAAATTTCACTTTGCAAAGAATACCCAAATCACATGCAAGGACATTTAAAAAAAGTAATTTTTGCACAGGATTGGGTGAAAGAAGTCAGCACATCTTCCCCTCATTAAAGAAAACATTTTCTTGCAAAGGGAAAATCCACTTTGGAAAGTCAACATTCTTTACTCCTTTAGTAAATCAGCCACACATTATTTCATTTTAATCAGTTCAGCTGTCAGCAACAATTTAAAAGGAGAATTATGGGATGAAGCCGACCTGCAACACTGAAGCGGTCACAGGTCGGCTCTCTTGATGAGGAACTCACACACCACTGATTTCCAAGTTCCCTATCCTCTGCCTGCAGAGAGCAGTGACTGTTAGTCAGTCATTACTCCCCGCTGGGATTCCCTGCTCCCCCCTCCGTTTCTCCAGAGCTGAGTGGAGGAACGGACGGGGGAGGGGGTGGGCACAGCTGGCCCTGCCTCTAGAGAGGCAGACCCAGCTATCAATCAGCTAGCGGGGTGAACCTCAACAGTTTTGTCAGGAGACATTAGTATATGTCCTCCAGTGACCCTGAAGAGAACTATGGGCAAAAAAGTTTGCCACATAGTATTCCGTTAAACAAACCAAGTTAAAAAATAGGATTTTTTGAACTCACCGTAAAATCCTTTTCTCTGAGTTCATTGAAGGACACAGCCGAATCTTCATTTTACTGAAGGGATATATGACACTTACAGGAGTAGGAAGCTAGGCAGACAAAAAACAACAAAGCACAAACCTGGGGGCATTCCCTGCGGGTGGCTCAACCCCCCACTTGTTAGAGGTAGCTCAGTTACTAACAAAGCAGTAGAGAAGAAACAAAGGGCACAGACAACTCCAGAGGGGAGGGAGCTGTGTCCTTCAATGAACTCAGAGAAAAGGATTTCACGGTGAGTTAAAAAAATTCTAATTTTCTCTTATGTTCATTGAGGGACACAGCCGAATCCTCATTTTACGCAAAGGATGTCCCAAAGCAGTGAGAAATGAGGTGGGTGGGAAACCAAAGAGAACAAGAAAAACAGGCACCCACCAACTAAACGGCCGCCAGCAAAAGCCTTGTGGCCAAAACCGTTATCTGCAGAAGCAACAACATCCCATATAAATAGAAGAAAGGCATGCACCTTTGACCAGGTGGCTGCCTAACAAACCTGCCCAAAGATGAGAGAGCCCAAAGATGAGAGAGCCCAAAGATGAGAGAGCCCAAAGATGAGAGAGCCCAAAGATGAGAGAGCCCAAAGATGAGAGAGCCCAAAGATGCGAAACTACCACGGCTCTAACCACATCCAGCCAAGCAGGGCCAACACACAAGATCTGCCCCAAGGAATGCGAGTCAATGGACGCTGAAAACGAGCAATAGTCTCACATGCCTGAGGAATAAAATATACACCCCCAGACTGCACCGCCTGGCTAGCAATAGCCACACTATAAAGGCCAGCAACAGCAAGAAGGATTAAAATTTGGTCCTGACAAAAGATCTGGCCATAGAGTGAGCTGCCAAGGAACATTTGTGACCAGGTGCATCAGGTCCGCATAAAGTGGACGACGATATTATCCAGTGTTACCAGAAGAACTGGAATCCCTTCAACCTCCACCTGCTGCAGTAGCCACGAAGAAGCTTCAGGGGAGAAAACACATTGAGTGCATAACTGAACCATGCGACACCAAGCGTCCGCTGCATCTGCCCAAGGAACCAGGGCCCTGGACACTTACCTTTCATTCAAGAAGGGAGTCGAGAAGATCTGCATCCGGATCCCCTATCTTTGGTAGCTCTGCATAAACACCCCTTGAAGTAGGGCCTATTCCCCATGATCCAGCCCCTTAGTGAGACACTTCCAGCAAGCATCTCCACATGTACCCAGATGATAGACATATGTCCCGGGCAAGGAGATGTGCAACCGAACCCCAAAGGGATGCCCACACAGAAGCTCCGATCGTTTAAAGTTCCAAAACAGTAATCGGGAACCTGAACTCCTCCCTGGTCCAAAAGCCTTAAATCAGACCACAGCCCAGCCACTCCACCAGCCGCTGAGGCTGGTGAAAAAGCCCAGTAAGCACAGAAGCCTGGGAACACACAGCCGTAGGCATGGCAGAAGGGAACCTGGGGGAAAGGGACCTATCTAGTCAGCTTATAGGGCACTACATGAGGAGACGCACCCGGGTCTGCTCCCTATAACAACCCAGCAGTGAAAAGAGCAATACTTACCACTACAGATACCTTCTCTCACATCAGATTGCCTCCCACCAAAGTGGAGGTGCTGATAGCCAGGGGGACACAGTGACAAACCAACCCAGTGGCCAGTTGGTTACATGCGTCCCCCCTTGAGAAACACACAGGCTGCCTGGGATTCAAGAAGGGGCTGTCGCAGCATAACCCGCACATAGCTAAGGATCTGCATGCGCTCGTAGCCGGGCTGAGGAGACTACAAGGATCTATATTATCCAGCCGGTCGCCCAGCTCAGCTGTTGATTGGAGATCAATGAAAAAAATAAAGAAAAAATAAAGAACGAAGATCCCCAGAAGGAAGCAGGTCCTTACTGAACGCTAGACAAAAAACTGAGCTACCCCTAACAAGTGGGGAGTTGAGCCACCAGCAGGGGCTGCCCCCAGGGCTGTGCTTTGTTGTTTTTTGTCTGCCTACCATCCTACTCCTGCAAGTGGCATATAACCCTTCTGTAAAATGAAGATTCAGCTGTGTCCTTCAATGAATGTAAGAGAAATAACTTTTGTTTTGGACAAGAGCACAAATAATATACTAACCAGAGGTCAAGGACAGTTCTCTTGCCTCATAGATCTAAAGCCATACAATATTCATAGCTTAAAGAACCCTTTAATTCCCAGAACAGATATACAACAGAAAAGCTGCATACTTGTTCTACTTAGGGACCCAAAGAAGTAGAAAGTAATGGAAAGGTGCTTGGAAATAGCATCTTCCGAAAGAGGGGCCACTAACAGCAGCTTAAATATTTCTCCCACAACATATTTCCTTACAGTTTCACAATATAAAACACAACAAGGATATGGGACCTCCCAGCACTGAAGGAAGGGAGTTTGAAAATGGAAAACATTCCTCGCGACACTTAAAGAAAAAAATCCACTAAAAGTCCCTTTTCTTTCATCTCGTCAAGGCATGGAAAGGTTTTTACATGTATATATGTGAGGAATAGCAAGTTGTGTTATCTTGTTCCATTTCATTTGAGAGCCTCTTGTAAAGTTGCAGAATCCACTGTGCAGGGAGATTTGTGTTCACTACAGATGCTAAAAGACAAACAGACTGTTTGTATTTCCACACACTGCTCTTGCAAACAATAAAAAGGTTAAAAGGAGAACTATGAGGCGAGTAAAAATTACTCAGCTATAAAAGTTTGAGCCGACCTGTGACAATGAAAGTGTCACACGTCGGCTCAATAGATCGGGAAGTGAGCGAACACATACCATCACTCGCTCACTTCCCGATCATCTCCCTGCAGAGAGCAGTGACTGTCAGTCATGGCTCCCCGCAGGGATTCCCCCCCCCCCTCCCTCCTTGATCCTCCAGCGCTGACTGGAAGAACGGACGGGGGAGGGGGAGGGTACAGCTGGCCCTGCCTCTAGATAGGCAGAGCCAGCTGTCATTCACGCAGCTGGGTGGATCTCAACAGCATTGTCGGGATCCGTCCCGGCTGCGGCGGCCTCAGTATACAGCGAGCTGTAGCTCGCGATATACTGAGCTTTGGGTCACGGGAGGACGCTAGTATATGTCCTCCCGTGACTCTTAGAGAACTATGGAGGAAAACACTTACCCCATAGTTCTCTTTTAAGCATCATTTGCTATGTAGGGGTTAACTGCTTAGTGATATGTAGAACACCAGACTGTCCATCGCACTCAGAGATTTATCAACTGTTGGAAAATCTTGGTGAAGGAAGAAACCAATCCTTCCCTTTTCTATGGAGAAAAAGTAATAAAGTGCTCGCTTTGTGTGCATGGTGTCTCTTGGCCACCACCTAAGTGAGACATCCATGACCGCATAACTGCAGCCCAGTTAACAGTGCAATAAGGCAAACAAGCCTGCTGAGACTGGTGAAGAATGCTGCAGCTCACGTAACACAGAGTGTGAATAAAGGGGACAGGTGTCTGGTTATTTCAGCGAAAAATTTTGTGGTAAGTTGGAAAACTGAAAAGAACGATAATTGCAAAAACAAAAAGGCCAAGAAAAAGAAGAACATGACTAAACAGGTTAGAGATCAAGAGCAGCATCAAACAGGGAAGTCACAGAAGAGAGGCACTCTTTCGGATTGTCTGCACACAGCCAGCTACCTCCCACTAAACCAGAAATACAAGAGCTTGGAGGAAGCAGGTACAGCGTGTCTTCATTTATCTCTGTTTACATGCAGCAATTATCTAAAGATATACAGCAACATCACAGTCTGTGCAATATTAACAACTACAAACATGTATTCTGTAGATGGTAGAGGCAGACATCATGCATTATGAAAGTCACTGTATCGACTTTTCTACCAACAGCAGAAAAAGGGGTTTTGCCTGAAACTCAAAATTACAGAGACTCCTTAACTAAATATATAAGTTTACAGAGCAAGCAGGCCCAAAAAAAAAAAAAACTTCTGTCCATCTAGTTTAAAAAAAAAAAAAACCCACACCTTGCATCCTCACAGCCCCGAGGGCTGGTTCACACTATAGTGCTGTGCAAAGAGCGCAGTATCTATGCGTTTAGTGCATGCTATTACTAGGCTACAGGGTGACAATGCAGGAGCACATTTTGGAGAAAGGGATAGAGAGTGTTGTGACGGACCCCCGTACTCAGGATGAGTATGTCCGCCGCTGTCTTCTTCCTTGCTGAGGAGATATTGCAACCTGAAGATCCTTAGCTCCCAGTTTCCCCAGTCACTAGTCGAGGCTTGAGTGTAGGTGAAACAAACTCTGCTTTATTGAGCAACTGCACAAACTTTTATCAGCAAGTGATGAGATCAGATTATAATCCCATCACATCCCCCCTCCCCAGACAATCGGTCTGCTCAACACCACAGGGCTTCCCCTGCTAACGAGTTCCAGTACAATGGGAGATAACGAGGGATGGTGCTGATAGTCTTTTCCTAACCAGGTTACACAGTATAACGCACTCAAACATAACTCAACACCAATACACATTTAACTCATAAAACTGATCACCATGTCGTCACAAGTGTCACCCTAGAACAGGAAGTACCATAACAAAGACCCTTATGGTAGGATCACCAGGGATTTTTTTTAAAGAAAGCTGCATATTTAAAAATATAGAAAATTAATTATGAAAGGATATCACATTTTAAGGATTATATGAGATTTTACGTGGTTACATTTCCATGTACTGCAAGTGTCTTTTCCCACCTTCTCAAATACGTCACGCTGACTGCTGAACAGGAGAAGCTCCTATTGGTTCATGAAGTTGAACTTTTTTGTTTCAATTTCACACCTGCACATCAAAGGCAGCTATGCCCTGGCACATTGTCACATTAACGTAAAACTAATTTAAAAAAAACTACACTAGTAATGGGGTTGGCAGGGACAAAAACGACTGCAAGGAGATCTTCAGCACAGCACCCAGACTGTGTTGCAAGTACAAAAGGACATTTAGTCCTCTGAGGTCTTCCCAAAACTGAAATATTAGAGTTCGATTAAAGCGACACTAAACTCAGGAGTTAAATCTTAAAAATGCATTCAAGTACCTTAACTATTAACAAAAATGTATCTTATTTGTGCTGTAGATCCTCAAATCAATTCATGCTGACACACATGAAATTAGTCATCTAAATTTGAGATTGTAGTCTATCACAGGAGTGAGCTTGGAGCGGTGGCTACTTTACAACACACAGGGACCATGGGGAATAAAAGTAGCCACCCTCCAGAAGGAAGGACAATGTCAGCACCAATTCAGAGATGATTTGATGATCTACAGCTGAGTGATGCACTAATAAGATACATTATTGTTAAAAGTTAAGGTACCTCAATGCATTTTTTTACGATTTAACTCCTAATTTTGGTGCCACTTAGTTCTTATCTAACCAGTTTAATATACTTTTAATCAATCTTCCTGAAGTTCTTCTCACTGAAAATCTAATAAGCTTTGACCTGCATCAGGATTATTAGGAAGGGGAATTCCAGGTTTTAATTTTTCAGATACATAAATGCCTTTTTGGATTATGGTAAGTATACTGTATACTGCACAGATATGGAGCTTACCGATCTGCTTTTGCTTCGGTGAGGCACACATAAAAAGTACCCTATCCTAATAATATTCAATTACACAAAACGACTTACAACTGGTCGCAGCAGTCCCTCATCTATTACATTAATGTGGTTCCTACGAAAATGGAATACATTGCACAGGTCACAGGCTTAGTCTAACTCCCACAATCCCAAGCAATATAGTCCCCTATAGAAGACTAAGGTCCTGTGCCAACGGGCTTTTCTTTGCTTCCAGTGGGTTTTGCAAGGTCAACTCAATTCATTCTGAATGATCTTAAAATAATGTTAAAACGGATGTCATCGACATTAGCTCTAAGTCCCTCAACATGGATGCAATATGTCGCCAGCACACCCACAAACTTGTTTCAAAGTGAATAACTCTTTATACTTGTATGATCCCATAGAAAAGCAACGTTTCAAAATTGTGCAAGGACCCTTCCTCAGGCATGTGATGGCTCATGATCATATACCCGGAATGTTGCTTTTCTACGTGATAATATGATAATAGGCTTTTCACTTTGAAACAAGCCTGGTGATGTGCTGGCAACATATTTATGTGATATGCTGTGATCATTTGGGAGTCATTGCAGCACCCTCTAACTACATGGTTAATTCCAGTATGACGTGAATAAGGAATATGCTCCATATGTAATATACAGTATGTAAAAATGTATTTTTGTGGAAAAGTGAAGGACCCCCTTAACAAAAGACAAATACAATGTAAATGTGCAATTCAAGCCAATTATTTTTGAAAGGAAAATTATAACCTCTGACAGGTTATACTGCTATCTGGGACTCCATTAAAGAGATTTCACCTCACTTAGTGTCATGGTGACAATGATTTTACCAGAAGTGAGAGAAAATCTGCACCAGGGGCACCGACATAAATAAAAAGCTGACGGGGTTACAAGTCTTCTCCTACTATCTTAAAAATAAATTTAAAAAAACACATTAATCGATATCAGTGTTGGCGTACATTTTTGCTCTATTCCGGTCTGGTAAAACCACAGTCACTGGGATAGTGAGGGGGAATCTCTTTAATTTTAATAGAGCCCTGTGTAGCTGACAGGGATTCTAACCATTTGAGGAATCCAAAAACAGGACATACACTCTAACCTCTGCATGCTGTAACACAGAAAGGACCCCATCTGTCACGGCTCCCATTCAAGGAAAAAAAAATAGTGTACCAGAACATAGAGCATGGTAATATACAAATGCATCTTTACATAGGACTGCATGCATGAGACCAACAGAGGAGAATCTTACAAGGGGACCTGTGACACCAAGGAAGCTGCACAGCTGAGAACTCGGAATATCGGGGACAGGTGACTACAATGCTGGGTCTGAGGGCTGTGGGTTTATTAAAATAAGTGTTACTGTATGGAAAGTTTAGTTACACTTGTGCGCTCTTAAAAAGTAGTTGTGACTGATTGCAGCTACCTTTATTTCCCTGATAGAAGCCTCTGTATCTACAGAAATTGACGTATCTCCGCTGCCCCTTCGTGAGGATGTCCCACCCAGCGAAGCAAGTGTAGCTGCCGACAAGCTGGAAACAGGACGGCTACCCTAGAAGAGTAAAACAATCAGGATCTATGAGATATATTACATTAGGAAGATGATTTGTGAAATTCCCACTGTAAGAGACTAAAGAAAACTCTGATCTGCCAGAAAAGTAGAATATATAAAATGAAACTTCTTTATACAACCAAAATACATCAGCGTCAATCCTCAAGATAAACTGCATATTGTTTTTCTAAGAGTGTTTTTTTTTTCTTTTAATGCACTGGGGCTATAATACGTGGCAAAATCATGCAAAATATACTTAGCTGAGCTCAACTTTACAGCAATATCACAAATATTTCACACAATGAGGCTGCAACAGTGATATGGGAGAAAAGAAAATAATTCTTACCTTTTCTCCAAAGTCTTTGTCTGGTTTTTCTTCCACCTGTAATAGCCAAGAAAAATAAGTTCAACTTGCTGTTGTTCAACCATGAGGATTACATTCAGAGGTGACAATCATCGATTGTCCTGTAAACAGTCAATTATAAAATAGAATGTTAGTCACCATTCCAAGTTACATACTCACCATGTAGTTCTGACACAAACCATTGTTAAATAAAACAGGTAAGGCTGAATCCGCACCAAAGACAACAACAGTAAAGCCCAATCATTGTGCAGAACTGTTCAAATAAAAACATGCTAACCTCTGGAAATGCTAGTTTCCCCGTCTGTCATACTTACCCTATGGCTTTTATATTGGAGTCATCAGCTGGAACAAGCAGCAGATCAGAAGCTCTGAGTTCAGCCAGTGACGTATAAGTATGGGAGCCAGAGGCAGCTGGGCAACTAGCATTTTTCTAGAGGTGAACAGCAATTGCAGCCTTTGTATTTGTACAAAGTACAGTTTTACTTTAAGCAAGAAGCAGAATCTGTGTATGCAATGAGCAAAATAAGTGCATGCATACACAAGGTTTTTAAACAAGATTTACAGTACATAGATGATGTATAAAATGTATACCTAAAAAAAGAACATTGTTTTGCAAACACAGCAAACACATAATATATCTAGGACAGTGCGCACTCATGTCTCTCTACACCCGCAGACGCACTCACTCTGCTCATAGCAGGAACTGAAGCATCGTCTAAGTGGCTAAGCGAAGGAATACTGGCACTGTTGGACCCACGTCGACACACAGATGGACCAGGGGGCTCTGAGGACTGCATAAAGAGGACATTTTCAGCTTTTAGCACTGAATATGCATATTAGAAGAGCTTATCTACCCAAAATAATATTTCTATTTTGGGAGGATGCTGTTGGGTTAAATCACTCATTCTATTTAGATTTCACAGGCACTAAGGTTTTATTTTGCAGAAAAGTGCAGCAGAGCCAAAAATTCCAGCGACATGCCACACCTGGGCTCCCAAGTGATGCCCATTAAGGCCCCATTCACACTGAGCGATTTTTGCAGCGATATCGCTCATATTTCCGCGCTATATCGCTCTACGTAGCTTCAGCAATACATTTCAATGTAGCTGTTCACATCTCGTCGCTCAATATCGCTTGTAGATCGTCGCTGGTAGCTCGTCGCTCCTACATGACCCTTTTTTAGAGCGATTTTGAGCGCTATTGCTCCTGATTGCATACAGCCCAATAGGAAGATGTCGCTCAAAGTCGCGCGATTTCCATGTCGCTCAGTGTGAATGGGGTCTAACAGTTTGTGAGTGAACCAGTTAGCATCCACCCGTAACGCGAATCTGTTTGGAGAGACTTTGGCCTCTGAAGTAAAGTCTCATTTAGAGGCAACAGAATACCTAGGAAGTCCTTTCATTGCAGCTAAGCAGCTACGTTAATGCTTGCAGCACACAAATAAAGTGTGAACATACTGTATTGCTTACTACAATCCGTTCTCAACATCGATTTACACAACACAGGTAATTACATTAAAGTGACCATAAACTCAGGTGTTAAATTTTAAAATTGCATCTTATTTGTGCATCACTCAGCTGTAGATCCTCATATATCTCTGAATTGGTGCTGACATTATCCTTCCTTTTGGAGGGGGGGGGCTACTTTTGTTCCCCATGGTCCCTGTGTGTGTTGATATACTGTAGACACCGCTCCAAGCTCACTCCTGCGATGGACTACAATCTCAATTCAAATTAGTTAACTAAACATAGTAACATAGTATTTGAGGTTGAATAAAGACACCGGTCCATCAAGTCCAACCTATTGCATGTATGCATGTGCATCTACATATGTATGAGTTCATGTGTGATCTTATTCTTATGTGTACCTGTACCCCTGTATGTTACGGTCTCTGAGGAAATCGTCCAAACTTTTTTGAATGATTCCACACTCACAGCTGAAATCACTGCTTGTGGCAGCGAGTTCCAGACCCTAACCGCTCTGAGAAGAACCCCCTACGCCCCTTGTGCTGAAATCTTTTCTCCACCAATTTTAGGTGGTGGCCTCTAGTCTTTGTTATGGAGTTTACCATAAAAAGTTTATTGCTGATGTTGCTATCCCCGTTGAACATCTTGTACATCAGAATCATATACCCCCTTAATCTCCTTACTTCCAGTGTGAACATGTTTAAATTTAGTAACCTTGTCTCATAGCTAGTTTGGTTGCCCTTCTCTGGACTCTTTCCAGCTCAAGGACATCCTTTCTGTGGATTGCTGACCAAAACTGAACCGCATACTCCAGATGAGGTCAACCCAGCGATCTATAAAGTGGAAAATTATAGATTTGTCTCTACAGTGCATTCCCTTTTTAATACAAGACAGTACTCTGCTTGCTTTGTTTCCCGCAGCCTGGCACTGCAAGCTATTAGTCAATCTGTGGTCTACAATGACCCCCAGATCTTTTTCCATTTCTGACTCCCCTAGAAAACAAGTTATGTGTGGTACCTCGTGGTACCCACTCTTGGGTAATATGTTTCTTCTATCCACATTTTCACATTAGGATAAAACAAAAGGACCACAGTTGTTGTTACAGTAGGTGATCAGACAAATACAGCATGGAACAATGGTCCAAGGCTGGAGTATGGTCCACTGCCAAATATGAGTTTTAATCTGTTGCAGGATAGACGACTTACAAGAAGAGCCACTTTAAATATTTATACAAAAACGTATAGTAAGAATATGAAGACCCAAAGGAACGATTCTGTCCCTCCAAGAAATGAAGAGTATTTCAGGAAAAACATCCAGCAAGTTTCATTCATGCAATTTGCACATTGAATAAAAATGCATCTAGGTTTATAAACAAGTAATGAGGTACTTCAGTGCAGTACACCATTCAAAATAATGTATCTATGAACATGTTTAACCACTACAGAAACACGGACAAGGGTTAGTAAACTTAAGAACAAAGCAATTTATACAACTCATCACTGGCTTAAAATCTTGTTCTTGTTTCATAGGATTAGAAAGATATAATAGAAGTACAAAGAGGGATACATGGCATTTCAAACTTTAAATGTAAAGGCAACACCATGCACATTATTCTTACTACTGTCCACTACCGTCTCTTTACACTTGCCGCACTCATGTCTTACAAAAGCCCTGTCTATAGGAGGGAACAAATTAAAAGCAATTCTCACCACAGGGCTGCCACGGGCAGAACTGGCACGAGAGGAGGCACGAGATCCAGAGCCCAGGTAACAGCTGTACTCAGAGGGCTTCCATGGACAAGCAGAAAAGACAGCATGAGAGACAGTGTGGGAAAAAGAACATCAGAGACAGGAGAGAAACTGTAATAACACAGAATAATGGAAAGGCTGCATAGCAGAAAAAAAAAAAAAAAAAGAAGATACCCGGTCTTCTTATCACAGAGAGAACATGCAGGAGAATGATGTAAATACAATAACCTGAAGCATATTAGGAGGCTGTGACATTCATCTACCAGCAAATCTGGCCTAATCGCTACTGTCCAATCTTCCCTGCTATGACACCACAACCGACTAAAAATAACTGTGCAAGAGGTTACTAGAAATACAGCTTAGATAAGCCATCTCAGGGGATGGATTACAAAGCTATATCCAGTAGTCACAATGCTACCGCTGTAGTATTGTACAGTGTTTTCTGTAAAGCACCAACTAGAAGGTCCTGCAATAAATGAATAGGAACAAACCTAATGCAACTCTATAATTATAAACCTAACTATTTCGATGCGCTACTGAAGCAGCTGGAAAAGATCCCACATCAAATAATAAGAGGTTTATAGTGCTGCTTATGAACGTTTTATGAAAGGGACTTGGAAATCCTGTCACATACATCCACTACTCAATGCATGTATTTATTTCAGGTATTTATATAGCGCTGACAATTTACGCAGTGCTTTACATCCTATTCAGTTACATCAGTCCCTCTTCTCAAGAAATGTACAATCTAAGTTCCTTATCTTACATACATAGATAGATACACACATACGAGGGCCAGTTTAGTCCAGAGATAATTAACAAACCCATCCATATTATGGGCTGCCATTACTGATCTCACTGGATCTCAGTCTCTCATGCTAACCCTCTCGTCTCAGTACTTTGAGTCATTGAACTGGTATGGATGTATGTAAAGAGCTGTGTAAATTGTCAGCGTTATAGAAATGTGTGAAACAAGTACATATAAGCATGGTTCCAAAACTTTCCATATCAGCATACTTGTTTCAAGTTAGAGATTAAAGTACTGCAGCCAATGGGGTCGGCATAACTCTGAATTTGCACCCCATAAATGAACCACAATAAGCTGCATCATGTGACAATGGATGTCTGTGTACGACTTCCCTAAAAGTCTGTGGCATTTCACCCTTGTTGAGAAGTTTATATGGTTTAATTTTCATAACAACTGTAATTTAAAAAGAAGGCCATCTTACAACACGACAGCTCCGATAAGCCTACATCTAAATGACTGTATGCAGTACTTCTGCTGGATCTGTATTTAAGTCGATATTTATTACAGTCACTGTACAAGAGAAAAAAAAGCCAAGAAGAAACTCTCACAGGCCGAGAACCGGAAGAACGGCGGCTGTTATTGCTGACACCCTCATCATACAGCGACCCCTAGCACCAAGGAACAGAGAGCAGACAGTCAGATGGAAGCAATCATAAAAAGGGAGATACGGACAGGGAAAGGTTTCAGGAAAAGGGAAAGGAATAATGCAACTTAAAAAGCAGACAAATGTATAACAGCAGCAAAGAATTTGTGCAATAAGTGACCCACCCGCTGGGACCTGGAAGGCAGGGAGCTGCAGTTCAGAAGTGAAGGCTGTAAAAGGATAGAATACATTTAATAGATGCAAACTGTGCTGTGCTTAAGACTAACTTCACATATTGGCCAAATATAAACTCAATGATCCCCAGTCAGCCACAAAGTCACAAAGTAAGGCCTCATTCATATGGGCAGCAGACTTTACACCCTCTGAAAAGCAATTTAAGGTGGATTGTTTTTCAGAGACAGTCACCAACTGATTTACAGGTGTTGAGGAGGAGATACTGCCGCCTCCTGAATGCCCCAAAGGGATTTTGCATTGCAACACCAAGAAGTTTGCACATGGTTGTGGTGGTCCCATTGACTATACCGGTCGTGTTGGGCAAGCAGCACCACCTACCACCACCTGCTGTATAAAAATTGGCAGGTGTATGGTTTGGGGGGGCAGTAAAAACTTAGACGAACCACCAGTTTTGCTGCTCTTTCCCTGCCCGTGTGAGCAAGTCTTAATGGTGAACTGTAGTAACCCACAGCAACCAATCAGACATTACTTTCTACCTCAGGCCAGTGAAATAGAAAAAAATAGAATTGGTTGCTATGTGCTACTGCACTTCGCCTTGTTTAATACAGACAATTGTGCACTCGCCGTGGGTTGGTTAAATGCTGAAAGCAGAACTCCAGGCAAAAAGCTACATAAACAGCAGAAATACATATACAAGAATTCTTCTACCTGGCAAAAAACAATTGTAATTCTGTTCAGCCAGTTTTGGTATTGATATACTTCTGCTGCAATTAGAGCCAGCAGGAATACAACAATATTTCCATTGTATCTGTCTGTTTAGCGGACTATGAATGAGTGTCATTACCCTGGAGAAGTCTTCCCTGTCCTTTCCTCCACTTTTAGTCCCCGTTCACACCAAAAGCCTGTAGCTGGAAAAAGTATATGAGCTTTTTTGGGGAGCAGATTAGCGCGATTTGCCCCTTTTCTTATTAAGTCGATGGGGATAAATCACGCTGATCTGCCCCCCCAAAAAGCTCACATACTTTTTTTCCCCCCCAGCGACAGGGTTCTTTCTACACGCATGTGAACATGGGCTATAGAAATAAATGGGATTTCTTGTGCTGAGCTTTTCAGTGCTGACAAATACGCGCGACAAACGCCTGTGGTGTGAACAGGGACTTAAGGTGCCTCAATAGCTTCCCTTCGGCTACTAGTGCCTGAAATGGAATGGGAGATCTCCATAAAGCTGGCCATACACCAGTAGAATTTCATGCAACAACAAAAAACCAAAACACTTTGTTCAATTTTTGTCAAATGGGCTATAGTTTTTGAAATCGAAGAAGCAGGATGGAACATTTTTCTCAATCAAAGGAAGTTCTAACAGTGAATGTGGTTTTCATCCAGGAAACTACATTCACCCCAAAAGCTAAATGTAAAATCAAAGGAAAGTCAATACGACATTTGTAAAGTCTCTGATGGCATTACAGAATGTTCGGAGGAGATTTTTCGTACGAAGATCTACCAATGTATGGTCAGCTTTACAGAGCCATGGTCAGTTTCCAGGCTGAACTTGGCTGCAAAGAGGATTATAGGAAGATTGTAGAAAGATATATTTCAGTCATTTATACTAGCAATGTGTTAAAATACATTAACTGAACTTCTAATAAAGTAGTAACTGGACTAAAATGGTGTTATGTTTTTTGTCTGGAGTTCTTCTGTAACACAATTGTCCAAACTCTACTAATACTTTAGTGTGGCTTGTATAGTAAAACAGTCAGTCATTCACTGCATGCTAATGTTGGAATCAAATGCATCTACATTTTAATTAAAATGAAAAACATATGAAAGAAAGAATGACAGGGAACATAAGAGAGAGCAAGGAAGAGTGAGCAGCACAGAAAAAAGAAAGATGCATTCATATGTGAGATAAAAAGGGGAGAGATATGGAGGGAAACAGACCCGACTTCCATTGTGCACTGATTGCTGCTGCTGCTTGGAGGAAAGCGGAGCACTGGCCAGGCTGAGGTCAGAGTAATAAGGGCTCTGCGTATAGTGGAGACAGGAAGAACCATGAAAGATAGAAGCTGTTCACGCACAGAAAACAGAGAGAACTTTAACCTTTCAATTGTACCACACACTGACACTTCACAACACAGCATGTATATAAAACAAGCGTTGCTTGCTAATGCTTTTAGTTAGCAATCAAAACCATGATATGCACTCCCATTAAAACATTTCTATTCAGGAATGGATGTGAATGGCCTGTGTGAAGTGTAAAGTCATATGAAATCTGCTGGCTCATAATAAATAAATAAAATGTAATTATCTTCTAAAGATCCTTCAGAATTAAATATTTAATTATACAGCTATCCTTACATTTGTTCTAAAAATAATCATGCTCCAACTGCATGCATGTAGTCCAGTTTCCTTCAAGTACAAGCAGAATAGATACTGTACGTTACATTATTCAATATATTAAAATCATGGAGATCTAAATTAAAGAGTGTATGCAGTAACATTAAAGAGAACAGGAACAGATGAGCAGGAAAAGCTTTGCTCTTTATCAAAGTAACCTGTCATTTGTCTCCTATAAAGCTGTGAAGGATGACACGTTGTCTACTGTCAGGTTATTGTTCTGTCAAGCTTTGTTTAGGCTTCATTGGCTTTGGCCACTTGTACTAACCCCTAACCTTCGGAGCCTGGGTGTGTGGGAAAACACATTATTATAATTATACCTGCTTCAAAACTGTAGCAATAAAAACTGACATCTACCTCCTCCCTACCTATAATACTGCTGAAAAATAAGGAACACTGCAAGAGATACAATATGGTTCAAGCTGTTCATATACATTACAATGCAGTCTATTGGTTGCAGATTTAGACAAAGCAATTTCTAAATTATTTTAGGTAATAAAGATACCAGATTATCTACAGATCAGGCTCATTTTATTACTCCTCTTCCGATGGTCAGAGTGTGTATGGTACACCTTCCCACCAGAGAGTTATCTGCTCTAAATCACATTCAGGTATAATGGAAAGTTGATTGTTGAAGGAATGGAACTTCATGGGGCTGATTTATAAATCTTCCATCCAGCTAGGAGCATTGGAATTTCCCTTGCTCCTCAGCTCTAACTAGTGGCGGTAATGATGTGCGAACGGAATTCTCCCAGCTATACGCAGGGCAGAAGATTTACAGATGACCCCCCATGTGTAGACAGCTTCTAAACAACCATTTTATCATCCCCCGGCATACTATGGTCAGCTAGAATCCACCCAGAGCGCCAACTGCAGCAAATATGTAGTCTCAGACAGTCCAATATGCAGGTGCAATGGCACCATAAAGTTTACATGGAGAGAAGATGATCTTTGTCCAATCCATCTCTTTTTCAACTGGATCAAAACAGCATCGAATGTCTCTAGCAATAGGTGGGACTACTTCCTTGGGGGCAAGGCTGCATTAATGGGAGAGGATTTATAACTTGTTTAACTCTTATTCCTTCCCCCAAAATAAGCCAACATTCAATAACATAAACCTGTATAAATGGGACAAGCTGAACATACATGTTTATGCGACAGTCGGCTATAGGGTTGCAACCAACTAATCAATAATAATAATAGTTGTCAACTATTAGTAGTTAGTTGGATCCCCTAGCTCTCTCCTCCATGCTGGGAGGAGGGCACAGCAAGCAGTGGGCGGGTGCAATAGCCAGCTTGCTATTGCAGTTTGAAATGGCCAATAACAGGATTGCTATTGCACCCGCCTACTGCTTGCTGTATTTACATTCAGCTGCTGTCTGTGGAATCTTGCCACTGGCAGCTGTCATTCCCTGGCTGAAGCTATTCAAGTGCCATGTACTTACAATACAATTATTAAACAGAAATTATAAAAAGGTGGGGAAAAAAGTCATTTTCAGGCTGAAATATTCTGCTGACGGAGGTGTGTTGCAGTGCTATTCAGTCCGAAGGCACCCCAAATGCCTCCCACCCACATTGTGATTACCTGCATGAAATGCATGGTACCTCAATGCCGTGTGTCCCAGTGCAGTGTGATTGCAAACAAATTGTGCATGCAGTTTTTCCTGAAGTAAACTTTGTAACACTTCAGTTGTCTATTTTATTTTAAATTAAGGGTGGTCTCTATTTTTATTTTTTTATCTGATCAATCAAGAATATAAAATCGGCCAACTAATGAATTATGAAAATAATCATTAGCTGCAACCCTAGTCGCGTGGCAGAAACGCTCCCAGGGCACCATATTGTGCCTGCACATCTGACGGTCTTCATACATCTATGCCCAAATTTTAGGTACACAGCAAATTCCAAACAATATCATATAATATTTAGCTGCAGAATAGTTATTTACCAAATAACACTGGTTAAATACATACAAAAAACAGCATATTATATTCCAATAAAGAGCTGCTAAAATAAATACACACAGCCATCAACACCTTTACCTATATTTCTTGCAGCATACAACTATGTCAGTGCCTTCATCTTCAAAACACATAACAGACATTATAAATGTCTAGTTAACATGATTATTGAAGTCACAAATAATGCAGCACAATTAGTATTAATTGTAAGTATATAATTAATGTATAAGCTCTGGCATTAAACTGTAATTGACCACACATTAGTGTGTCATGTTAGAAGTGTGTAGATCCCATGCACCAGCTCCACACTGTCTAAACAAAAGCTGTAAGCACGTAACCAACCGTTGCCTCATTTCTGGGTGCCCCCCTGGAGGACTGAAAAGTCTCCCCACTTCCCGTGGAGCTCTATGGGTAAAGAAGGATAAAAATGAGACAGAGGACATTGGCTATTCCTATTAAAATGATAATATAAACTTACTAAAAATGAACAGATACCCTAACATCAGTGTCCAAGACTGAAAACTAAAGCTGGCCTTTACTATCACCACTTATGTCCAACCCAAGTATATAGAAGGTCACATGCTAATCTTAGACCGTCTACTGACCCTGCTGGACTTCCTATACTGTGATGGTCCAAGTAATTCATCCTCGTAACCATTGGTCTGTTAGAAAAAGAAAGAGAAGGACTAAAGTCATGGAAAAACAGTAAAGAAAAATCACACAGAAACCACAAACGTACATAGCAGGACAAGAAAGCATGCAAACATTAGGAGCCTCATTTATCATCTTGTCTTAAAAAAAAAAAAAAAAGAAGTTCTTTCAGTTTATTTATAAAAAAATAAATCTGCATTTATAGCTCACCCAAATCCACAGCTGCATGCAGGGCCCAAAGTGGTTTCAATTCATTGGCGATTGCTTTGTATTGGTCAGCATTTCATTTTGTGGCACAGACCAATGAAAGCTATAACTCATCCGCCCAGCCATATGCTAGGTCAGGGGTAGCCAAACTCCGGCCCTCCAGCTGTGGTGAAACGACAAATCCCATGATGCATCTCTCTCCGGGAGTCCTGTCTGTGGCTGTGAGAATCTTGCAATGCCTCATGGGATTTGTAGTTCCACCACAGCTGGAGGGCCGGAGTTTGGCTGCCCCTGTGCTAGGTGAATGCCATTCGCACAGCATTTTTACCACTAGATGGAACCAAGGAGCATGCGCCTTATACTCCTTAGCTCCATCTCGTGGCAGGAATGCCATTGCAAACAGTATTTATATAAAGTTATAAAAAGACCCCTAGTATATTCTAGATTTATTTTTGATCCTTGTAGTACTCTGCCAAGGAAGCCCCAGACTGGAGCAGCACTGAAAGTTGGACAAACTTTACTGCATTGCACAGAGCTGGAGATCAAACAAAGTCATATCTTTAGACCCGTTACATCTGTTAGACATTAGTTGGCAAATTTTACCAACAACCAAAAATTGGAACAGCCTACGTAAATAACCATTCAATTAAAATCTAGTTAATGCTGAACAAAGTTGGACTGTGTGGCCAGCTTAGCTCTGGGAGCTGGATGAATGGAGGAGAGAGCAGAGTGATTAAAGGGCTTGCGTTATCAGTAAGGTGATACTCCTTCACTGTCCAAGCAGCAGGCTGGGGGCAGGTTGGTGACCACGCTGCACTGTGCAATTGCAGTGGAGAAAAGCAAAGTCAGGGATCTGGCTGCGCTGCCTGACAAGGGTGCCCAAATCACAAGGCTGGCTTGAAAATCATTTGGTAGGTAAAGCAAGTCACATATACAGTATGTACTTCAACTGTGTGTATGGCTTCTATCCAGGTGTTCAGTTTTAAACATACCAGTTATTTAACAAGCCTCCCAAAAAAAAAAAAAAAAAAAAAAACAAACAAACACACACACACACACACACACACTAAACACTTAGGCCGGGTTCACACCTAGGTGGCATTGGTTTTGTGTGCGCGTGTTCAGCGTGCGGCTATTTGCACGTTGTGCACATTTTCATGCATGTTTTTTATGGGCGTACATGAAGACTCGTGTTTTGACTGGTAGCTTATAAAACATTAGAGGCAATGGACGAGCGCGCATACAAATGCGTGAAAGCGTGCACGAAAATGTGCAACAAGCTTCTGCCGCATGTTTTCGAGGGTGTTTCTATTGAAATCTACAGGGCAAAAATGCACTGTTAACTGCCCAAAGAAGCTCATGTACCTTTTTTGGGCGTTTTGCTTCTCAGGTGTTCACAGGGGCCATTGGAAATAATAGGATTTCTTGTGTTGGGCATTTAAAAGCGCTTTTCTAACTACTCAAAAACGCCCAGGTGTGAACCAGGCCCGAAGACTGAGAAAAGGAAAAATTGAGGGTGTGCCATAGCTGCTTACGACCAATGTGGACTTCTTCACATGTTACAAGCTGTATGTAGTACCTGATGCTTGAGTAACTGGTAGGACACACTTGGATTACAATAGCAGAGCAAGAATCACATGCATTACCTCTCCATTAACAATGCACACAACACTTAATATACATATAGAAAGACACAGGGTACTAACCCTAAGACTGCTTCTGCTAGTCACAGACATGAGATCATCATCATCTGAAACCTGAGGGTGGAGGATAGGGCCAAAAAGCAAAGTCAAATTAACATGAACAAAAAAGGGGATTGAAAACTTGTCAATGATAGAGCAATGCGACTAGCTATACAGTAAAACAATACTTTGGTTGAAGGAAACTTGGAAGAAATAAACAGACAGAGGGTGCCATTGCTGAGCTTTTTACTGAAAATTTGAATAGCCTGGCTATCATTTCCATCCAATGGCTGTAATACTTTAACTTCATTGGTCACATTACGCAGCAAGTATGGAAACCAAAAGACAGAACAGCAACTAGCCTCTTCAGAAGAAATTCATCATGGCAGCTACATATCAGTCTGTTCACAGATCTTCTTGAAGCTCAGCTACTTAACAAAATATTAAAATAACCTTTGCAAGCTTACTTATTCCAATGTTGCACTTGTGGCAAAATGTGCAAGTTTACTAGCTCAAGTGCATACAAAGTTTTGTGTCTTTCACCCACAATAAACATTGCGTGTTTTCTATTCTGTGCAAGATTGAGATACTGATACCATCGTCGCACTCCATGCCAGGAACTACAGCTAGTTCCTGTACATAATGCCAATAGTGCTTACGTTGCTGTACATAATGCCAATAGTGCTTACATCTGATAAAAGGTGTGCTGAACCAACCTAAAAACAGGAGGCATAAGGTTTCAAGGTATGGATTCTGGATGCAGCGCTCTATCATCCGCGGTATCCTTGAGAGTCCCCAGAGTTGTCTGAAGAGTGAGATCACCACACATACAGTGTAACTCCAGTCAATTTTTATTTCACACAACAAAAGATCACAAGAAAAAGCCAGCATGTTTTGGGGTCTTAAGCCCCCTTTTCAGGGCATACATGCTGAAATTAAATATAGAAAATACTGGATACAAATTGTAAAACAAGGTTAAAATAATGTTCAATCGGGTCACCAGTTAGCCTGACTAACAAGCCAAATCAATAGGGATGCATTTATCTATCAGTACATCCTGGGAAATCAGAAAGTCGGCTTCCTGATCGCCTGGGAAGCCAGCTCCATGCGGTTTGCTTGAGAAGCCTGCTTTCCAATCGGCATGGATCCAGCTTCCCGGCCAATCAAGTAATTACTTACCGTTCGGCTTCCTGATTGGCTGGGAAGCCAGCTCCATGTTCCTTCACAGCACTACCGGTCAGAGGAAATCTCCTTCTGACCGAAAGTTCCGGTATCGGGGGTAAGTATCGGAGCATTTGGGTGAATACTTGCCCAAATATACGGTATCGGTGCATCCCTACAAATCATTATTTTATCCATGTTTTATACAGTAATTTGTTGTCCAATATTCACTTTTACTTCCAGCAGCAATACCCCAATGGAGGGGAAATGTTGAGCCCATGAAAAGCATTCCCTTTTTCTTGTGAGGTATTGTTGTGTGAAATAGAAATTGACTGGACTCACACTGTAAAGTATTGACATGCTCTGAACAAGCAGTAAAAGCACTTTAAGGAAGAACTCCAGTTAAAAATTGTATTAACCCTTGCAGTGGGCCTAACCCCCCCCACTGCAAGGGTTAACTGCTCGTTTTTGTCAAGGTACTAAAATAATAATTAAAAAAAAAGGGCTACTCACCGCACTATCTGAGCCGGCTCCCTGCCTCTGTGATCACTGACTACTCCTCCACTGCACAGATGAACTGCTCCTCACGTCTATAGACAGTCTATGCACAGTGTATAGAGTGAGATGACACCCACTGCAGCAGAGAGACACTTGAGACACCGCTCTAAGAAACAGCCAGCTCGGGTGGGGAGTCATTTTTTTTAGCACCTAGATACGAATGAGCATTTAACCACTGCAGTGCAGGGGTAGCCCCACTACAAGGGTTACTTCTTTAAACAAGCCCTGATTAATGTATGTATGTATGTATGTATGTATGTATGTATGTATGTGTATATGTATGTATGTGTAAATATATATATCTATCTATCTATATAGAGATATATCTATCTATATAGAGATATATCTATCTATATAGAGATATATCTATCTATATAGAGATATATCTATCTAT